GCTTCTTCTTTGAGTCGCGGCGGTGAGAGTATATTTCAGCCGCCTTTTCCTTGGTGTAGGGTCGCGGTGTGCCGTGCGAGTCGAAGGTGCCAACGCCAACACCGCGAAGCATTCCTTGGAGGTGTTGGGATGCGGGTCCGAGGAGTGGGTGTTCTGTTGTGCCGAAGACGACGCAGTTTGCGGTTTCCAGCTCCAGGTTGGACAGTCCTTCCTCAGGCGGTGCGTCACGTTTTTCTTCGATGATGGTGGCAAGGCCGCGGCCGGCAATCGTGCTTGTCGAGGATGTGGGCGTGTGGCAGTCCCTGCAGACACCGTCTGGATCAGGGTCGTGTAGCGCTAGCTCGCGTGGGTGTGGGTGATGCGGCACCCATGGGCGCCCATCAGGGTGCTTCCAATCCCGGCGATGAATGTGGTCGAAGCGCAGGGGGACAAGGTCAATCAGCTCCTGCGAATCGCCGCTGCAGTCGGGAATATCGAAGTCGAGAACGTACATTTTGTTCTCGGCATGGGCTCGTCCGATCCGCTTACGCGTCTTGTTCGGCATCGTGAAGTGGAGTAGGATGTCGGGCGTCTAGGGGTCGGTACTGAGGAGAACTCCGCAATCCATGAGTTGCGCAGCCAATAGCAGGTTGAAGCGCAGGTTCTGCACAATCAACACGTCATTCAAGGTGATGTGCGTTCGGCTCCCATGTGCCTTGAGCACGACGATGCCTTGCGCGCTTGCGCGCAACCGCGTGTTGTTCGCCACGGTGACGTAGGTGACGGCGGGGGTGGCGACGGCATTGGATATGTAATGCTCAGAGCCCACCACGTGCTGCCCACAGCAGCTATCTATGTACCACGTGTTGTAGCGCGTGTTGTCGTTACGCGTGAGCAGCGCCAATCGCGGGGTAACGATGTGTGGTGTGTCAACTTTGAGAAATCGTTCGCGCGCAATCCAGTTGATCGGTGCCGGCCGCATATCAGGTATGTGCGGGGGGCTTTCAAGCAGTGGAACTGGAAGATTCCTGTCTTGTTTGTCGTCGTCTCTGAAGTCGTGACGCGTGCTGAACGGGTTGTTGTTCGAGAACGCTGCGATTGGGTGAGGCGCCGGCTCAGGTGAGGGTAAGCGCGCGCGCGGGCGACGCGATCCACTCGTCATTGTCATCCCCATGACATTGCGTATGGGTGCAGTCTGGGACGGCTGCTGCTGCTGGTGTTGAACCGTTGGGTTCAAGTTGCGCGATGGGGGCTGATGCCCCTGGGCGGGACACGGATCGTTCCATGCGTCTTGTCGGCCGAACCAGGTGCTCGGATTGGTCTGGCGAGGGCGAGATCGGGACCTGCATCGATCTGCGAGATGCCCGAAGTTTCTGCAAATCTTGCAGTAAAGGCGCCGCGGTCGTCGATCTTCTGTGTTGTCGGCGTAGAAGGCGAGGCGTTCCCTGTCTCGTCGCGGCGCTGGTCGCTGCTGGTCCACATCCCTTTGTTCGACGAGAAGGGCGGCGCAAAGGACGGCCTCCAAGATGACCCCCTGCTGTCGGAGAAGCGCCTTGCAGGGCCGCCACTCTGGGCTGAGCCCTTGGAGCACAATGTTTACAAATATCTCCTCATGGATTGTGCTCCCCAGTTTTGCGATTTGATTGCGTATGCTCCGACAGCGATTCAAGTAGCTGTTGGCCTTCTCTCCTGGTGCCATTTTGGTCTCCAGTAGATGCTCGAGCAGGCGGCTCGACGACACCGAGTCCTTTGGTTGATACACATTGTTCAGGTGGCACCAAGCGTTGAGGGCTGGAGCGGGCGAAGTTTTGTATGAGCGAATGCTCAATTGCTCCGTCGGCGACATTTTTCGCAGAAGAACCCCGTACGCCATCAGGGACTCGTTGTAGTACTTAGTGTCAGTAGAGCTACACTGTAAGATCCCCGATCGATCCTAGGGGGGGTTACAGGCGCGTTTGCCTGGGGGGTTATGGGCGCACTGACCCGCTACTGGAACAAGCCCTTTTATCCCAATGGTCTAGTGGTTGGGATTCTGACATGGTATCAGACCGGCTCGGGTTCGAATCCCGGTGTATGCATATGTTGGCCGTTGCCACTGTGCTCAGTCCTGGGCCTCCCAGTGTGGGGGGGTGTAAGTAGAGCTACACTGTAAGATCCCCGATCGATCCTAGGGGGGGTTACAGGCGCGTTTGCCTGGGGGGTTATGGGCGCACTGACCCGCTACTGAAACAAGCCCTTTTATCCCAATCGTCTAGTGGTTGGGATTCTGACATGGTATCAGACCGGTCTCAGGTTCGAATCCCGGTGTATGCACATGTTGGCCGTTGCCACTGTGCTCAGTCCTGGGCCTCCTAGTGTGGAGGGGTGTCAGTAGAGCTACACTGTAAGATCCCCGATCGATCCTAGGGGGGGTTACACGCGCGTTTGCCTGGGGGGTTATGGGCGCACTGACCCGCTACTGAAACAAGCCCTTTTATCCCAATGGTCTAGTGGTTGGGATTCTGACACTTAGTTCTTGCGTCGTCAGTGTCCTCCGCAGGTCTCGAGTAGCTCCCGTCGAAGTAGTGAAAAATCTGCGCGTTTTGCAGCAGCAGCTCCAGTTCGAAGCTCCAAATATAGAAGTCTCTGCCGTCAAAGCACACACTTTTCTTTATTATTGATATGCTCAAAAACCTTGATTGCGCAGAGAGAATTGCTTCATTGTCGGGACAGGGAGTCTTGGGTGTTGAGCATTTGTGTCGAGAGAGAAGGTGTGCGGGGCGGAGTTTTGGCCATTCGAGGCCGGTTGAGTGGGTTGGGAGGATGTTCCCGCGTTGCCATTCCGCAATGTTTGGAGCCCTTGCTCAAGACTTGTGAGTCGCTGAAGCAGTTGTGCGAGGACGGCAGAAGGGATCGTCGTCGTTTCCTTGCTTGTCGCAGCCGGGTTGGGCTGCGCTTCAGTCGTCAGATTCGTCTAACCTCCAGATCCTCCGGCTATTCTCACATGCGAACGTGTGCCGGACGCCACTTTCTGTTCGCCGAGAGTTTCGGAGGTGGTAGTGCGAAGGATTCCCGAGTTGCTCTCGTACCATGCTGCGATCAGATGTTGATCGAACTCAGGATCACCTCAGAAAGGTTCGCACACTACTGATTTAGTGGTGGTGGGCCCTTGACCTCAATAGGAGAGTGAATGTAAATGCTTGAGATAATTAAAACATGCAAGTAAAAGGAATATAATTAGAAGTACAGAGGAATTCGAATCGACCTAGCTAGCCATGTACTCTAAGGGGTACATTCCCTTATTACAGCGAAATCCAACCATGCGACTCCAGGTGGTTACGAAACTGTTCGGGCAGAATCCTCGCCACTACTGCTGCCTGATGCTGTCTGCTCGACGGTCTAGATGCTTTCGTAACTGTACGACCCTTCGCATTGCTTCCGCCCTTTCGACTTCAACCTCGGTAGTGCGTGCTTCGCTTGTTGCGGTTAGGAGTGCACAGTGATGTTTCAGTAATTACTATTCGTAACAGAAGTAAACATAAACTCAAATCTAAGAGGCCTCTACGAGAGCTGTCTTTAGATTCAATGTGGAAGAGTTACATCTCAAGAAACTAAAACCTCCTTTAGTTACCATTCTGATGAAACGAGCTAGCGAAAACGGTTTGAAATGGTTAAGATACGCGTTTTTGGGCCCCATTTCATTGTCCCTTGTATATATGTCAGATTCCCCTAAACATAGGCTGGCAACGTTACAAAGCTATTTTGCGAAGCTTTTCCAGTCTTCGTATGCGCGGGTTGTTATGAATGAACTTGCAGAGTGCGCGGTAAAACGAATATCGACAATGATTGAGTACTGAATTACTGAATCCCTGAATGACGATACAATGGAAGTGACGAGGCATAAATAGGGGAAGTCCTAGCTAGGCGGAGAGGTTGGGCGAGGATGGCTCGGTGATGGTTGCGATTGGTGCGGAGGCGACTCGGGAGTGGTTCGGTGCGACGAAATAGGAAGGACAGGTTCGTCGCGTGACCCTCGAGATGGCCTCGCTAACAAGTGCCTCAGTAAGGATTCTGTAAATCCTTATACGGGTGGGATGCAATAACCGTTTCCGTGAGCATCCGCGACAACCAGGTAATACAGACAAGCTCTTACCTGCTGCGATTCGCCGTACTGGCTTGTAGTTTGTCGGGTGGCTCTCTGGTTTCAAATGCTGGTGTTGGGCGCGACGCGGCTGCTGCGTGTCGATAGTCACGAGGAATGTCGTGTAACCGTCTCTGCAGCTCCGTTTCTCAGATACTTGGCTGGAAATTTTGGTACCGGGACGAGGATTCCTCACAGAGACATGAGGAGTTAGGAACCAGGGGTTCGATGGAACGTTGATTTTTGTGGTGGTTAGCGCTGTCGTTATTTAACCACCAGGAGTCGCGAATCTCGTTTCATGGATTACGTCATGTCGGCACATCGAGCCGCTCGAGAGATATCCGAGTGTCGCGGTGTTACCTCCCGACTCAGTGCTTTTCTGCGACGCTTGGCTTGTCGCGCAAGTCGCATGAACCGCGCTAACATCGCGACTGCTAGTAGTAGTCATGCGGACAATGGGAGTCGTCGTCTCGTCTCGGCGATGACTCAGCGTCAGAGTCATCGGCACATTGACGAAAACGGCATTCGGAACGGTTCCACGTTTCCACGCCTGATTCGTCGCCTCGCGACCCGCCGACGCCTTGCCTCCTCTGATGATCGGGTCGCTTCCAGCAGCCTTGCCTCCACTTCACCCACTCAACGAGACCTTTGTTCTTAACCACCTCCTCACCGAAGCGCCTCTCACCTCCGCCTATAAAGCCGGCGCCATGAGCAGCCATGGATTCATCATCTCCAATCCGCCTCTCCCTTCAATCCCTTCCTCAAGCACCCGCTCGCAGCAGCCTGTGCAGCAGCCTTCCAGCTCTCTCCAGTTCCTGTGCAAGTGATTCACCTCTTCCCAGCCGAATTTTGAGTCAGCTTAGAAGCAACTACCGTGTAAACCCTGATGGCGACGGCTGGGATGCGCGTGCTGGTGCTGGCAGCGCTGGCAGTGGGGCTGCTGGCAGCGGCGGTGAGTGGAGCGCGGGACGCGATGAAGGTAGCCAGGGGCCTGGTCCCCACGGACGGTGGGGGCGCTGGGGTGGCTGGCGGGGCGGCGGCGGGGCAGCAGAAGAAGAGCGCGCGCATTCTGGCGGCTGAGACCTTTGCTCACCACGCCCCTCTGCCCGACTACCTCGACCACATCCCCCGCCGCCAGGCCCTCGCCACCAGTACGCGCTGCTACTCCCTCCCCTGCTTCCTTCATTGCTCTCCATGTCTCATTTCTCTCATTTGCTTCTCTTGTACAATGCAACTTGGGGATGCATGTCAGTAATGATATAATCACAATCTGCTCCTTCATTTGTCCCTTTAACACTCATGTCCCTGCTCCCCTCAACGCTCATTTCCCTGGTCCAATCAACACTCGGTTCTCTGCTCCCCTCAACACCTATTTCCCTGCTCCCCTCACCTCTCTTGCTCCCCTCGCCTCTCCTTTCCCTGCTCCCCTCAACACTTATTTCCCTACTCCCCTCAACACTCCTTTCCCTGCTCACCTCAACGCTCGTTTCCCTGCTCACCTCAACACTCGTTTCCCTGCTCCTTTCACCCCCCTACTCCTCCTCCCCCCACCCCCCCCCATCCCCCCCACACCCCCTTGGGCTTCTACTCCTGGCAGCGTGTGGGCGCACGACGGTGACGATCCGCTCGCAGTACCTGGGGCCGTACGACCTGCACAACGACATCTACAACATGACCTTCTACAACGGCTGCGCCTACAACGTCACCAGCCCGCTGCGCGTGTGGCAGTGCTTCAACTTCTACAACATTTGGGAGGACGTCCTCGATAACCCCGCACCCAACCCCACGCAATACCAGCAAGGCGAAATCTTTGTGCAGACGCTGCCGGGGTACTGTGAGATGCGCATGAACCGTGGTGCGAGCGGCAAGTTGCAGATGCTTCCCGGGGAGACGGTGAACATTGTGTATGCGCATACGTGGGACTTCCGGCCCTGTGTGCAGGAGCTGCGCTTCGGCAACGGCAACAGCTACTCCATGACCAACACCACCGAGTGCCAGCTCGCCAAGGTCATTTAGACTAGGCCAAGTGTTGGGAACAAATAGTCTTAAGCGCCTCTGTCGTGTCGAAACTCAAGACACAAGAAAAGCAGCTCAAATCGAAGCACCGCGAGTCAACCCTCGGAGGTTAATGTAACCGCTGGAGGTTACGAGAAAGTCAAAGGTCAGCGACCTTTGACCTGACGCAGCGCGACAGCAAGGACACACAACTGACTCGACATTGAGCAGTTGCCCGAGTCGCACTGTATCGAACCGCAACAGTAAAACAATTACAATTATGTCTCTTCATATTCTCTGTACTCATATATATATTCCTGTATCTCTTTGCTTTAATCAACTCACTTTGCCCTCACATACTAGCGCAAGGTGGTTCAAGGACTTTATTCAAACGCTTCCGCTACTACATCATTTACTCAGACTTTAACTCTACTAAAGATCCTAGGGCGTTCAGCCCAACATGGTATGAGAGCTGGTTAGAGTTAAAAATTTCTCTTCAACACTTAATACATCAAGAAGACATGTCTGCTAGAAAGGAGAGGAGCTCCTCCAACGGCTCTCCCGGTACTACCCCTACTCCACCTCCTGTCTCTGGCCTACTGACAGAGGAAGGGACAACAACTAGACCAGCAGCTGGGTCTACGGAAACACCCGCAAACCAAGGCGCGGGCTTCGATCCAAGTATGATGGAGAAATTCTTCTCCTTCATGTCCTTCTACGAGCAGCATCAGCAAGGAGTACCTGCGCAATCAAACAACAGCAACAACAACAACAACAACGAGACGCCCATGAGTCTCGATGGCTCATCCTACGCACGCGGGAATCAACATCAACAACCTACCTTCGCTCCGTACAAGCCCTAGCGCGGCTCCGTCAGCTTCATGCCGCAACCACAACCTGCACCGGGACAAGAAAGAGCACTGGACGCACTACAAGTTCAGTCGTAATTCGCGCATGTTCTAAAACTACAAACGACAAAACCTTTCGACGGGAAGGATTTCTTTACCTGGTCGTTCGAATTCGAGCTGATGATGGAAGGAGCGCAGATCCTTGGCTTCTTCGACGGGTCCCTGCCATATCCAACAAACGGCACGCAGTATGAGAAGCAGCAGTACACCTATCAATCGATGATAGCGTACACAATACTACTGAGGAAAATCACCCCGACTCAACAGCAGAACATAAGGACTTACCGAGGTTACGGTAACTCCGCGGAGCTCGCGTACAACCACTTGAAGAACCTGTATCAAGCAACAGAGAGCGTAAACCAAAGCCGGTTAATGGCGCAGCTGACAACAATCGAAATGAAACCAGGCGAGAAGGGCATGGCATATATCAGTCGCTGCCGCGAACTGCGCGACAAGCTTCTTCGATGTGGAGGATCGATTTCAGAAGACGCCTTTGTCACGGTTGTCATCGGTGGTCTTGGCCCTCACTGGCGCTCCACTCGCGCCATATTACGGGCACACGGGAGAATCTCCGAAGCAGCACTCTGCGCCAAAATCCATGCTGAACAGCAGGAGATGGACCTGCAAGAAGAACGACATAAGAAGAAAACGTCAGTACCAGAGTTCGTGTTTCACACCCAGCGACGCTACAACAACAACAATCGGCAGCAACAACAATTGAAGCCAGTACCTCCGTTTTGCCATATCTTCAAGACTTCAGGGCATCCTCGTACGCACTGCCCGTATCGCCAGCAATCGACAACACCACAGCGACAACTTCGGTCTTCAAGCTCCCAAGTCACTTCAACGCAAGCAACTCCCACGACAAAGATTCAAACCTCAACGACTCCAACAGGACAACCTGCACAAGGAGCAAGAAACATCGTCAACTGCATGGCAAAGACAACAGATTCCTGCATCACCGAATCACCGCCGCACTACTCACCAGAAGAACGACTTGACAAAACCACACCTCGCCGCGAGTCACTTCAGCCGAACCCGACATACGCCGCCATCGCTCAAGGCGAGCCATCCGGAAGAGACACTTGGTTCTTGGACAGTTGCTGCGGACAACACATGCGCTCCTCAGGACGTTTCGTTCAACGCGAGCACCGACTTCAACGAGAAGTCGTCATCACCGTCGCCAATAATCAGAACCTGCGAACAAGACGACAAGGCATAGTACAGCTTCAGTCACGGGAGACGAACGTCGTACTACAAATGTCGAAAGTCCTAATAGCAAAGGGACTCGGCTACAACTTACTGAGCGTCAGTCAGCTGATGGCGAAAGGCATACACCTGGAAGCCGACAGCACCACCCAGGAGTTCAAACTGTACCACGGGAAGGGCGGCCTCTACATCGGAAAGGCGGTTCTGAAGAATAACGTCTTTGTCCTTGACTTCGTCCCAGACCTGGGCACCGCAGACAGCGACGCCATCGTGAACTTCGCCGACTGGACGCACCCTCCAGATCTTGATCCAGACTTCAGCCCGGAAGGCTTCTAGTACTCGCATACCATCCCTGAAGCAGAACGAACACGCGCGTTAGCAACAATTCAACATCCGGCAGCAGCAGAAACAACATTGGCAGTAGCAGAAACATCATCAGCAGCAGCAGAGACAACATCGGCAGCAGCAGAAGCAGCAGAGACAACATCGGCAGCAGCAGAAACATCATCGGCAGTAGCAGAACCATCATCAGCGACACCAGTTCTCGTTGACGAAGCACCACCAACACTCGCATAGAAGCTGAACCCAACTCAACGAGAAGTCCACAGAAGCGCAAACTTCGTCGCCAGCTTCTACTCCAACTCCGATGCGTATCGACGCTCACCCGGACACCGCGCCTCCGAAGACATCTGGCACGCACGCATGGGACATCCAAGCAACACCGTGTTAAATAATACAATAAGAGCAGGAGTCCTAGACAAGGATTCATTACTACTACCCGACGGCAGAGAACTTCAACGGGCACGAGGAACTTGCCTCACCTGCCCCGAAGCCGACTTACCACATCGACCGTTTACTCCTCACCACAACCCGAGCGCACCCGCGTACGCACCACTCGAGAAGGTGTACAGCGATATTCTCTTCAATCGAGAACCAGGACAAGTTACTTACAACTACACGATAACCTTCATCGACGCCGCCACTCGATACGTCTGGCACATAAACCTACCCAGCCGCGACATGGCACTCGCAGCGTTCGCCGCATGGCTACCAGTAGCAGAGAAAGAGTCGGGAGCACAGCTGAAAAGCTTCCAGTCAGACGGAGGAGGAGAATACACCTCTCAGCGCTTCAAGCAGTACCTGGCGGAAAGAGGAATCAAGCAGCTCCTCTCCCTTCCCTACGCCCATCAGCAGCAAGGTGTCGCAGAAAGAATGAACAGGACTCTGCAGAACAGCATGCGCAAACTGCTACGTGGCATGCGGCTACCCAACCACCAGTGGCCTGCAGCAATGGACCACGCTGTCATGCTGCACAACTTGATGTCGTCGTCCTCACTTCCGAACAACGCATCACCGCATCTGCTGTGGACAAGGAAACAGGGCAGCACAAAAATGTTACGAGTTTTCGGGTGCATGGTACAGTACCGACCCCCAGAAGCACGAGCGGGAAGATTTTCACAACGCGCACAATGGGGACTACACCTCGGCATCGAAAAGAATTACAACGCGTGGAAAATCTTCGACGTCCACTCCAAGGAAACAGTAGCAGCACGTGACGTGATCTTCTACGAACGACTCACGCTTCAGACGTACCTCGCCAACTTGCACGAAAATCAGGACCCCACAGGTGGCTTTCGTGGTGACCGAGCCTTCGCCTCAGCAGCAGACGAAGCAGACTGGGACGAGCAGAACGTCGACAACGCATCAGAAGAAGCCGGACCTCTACCGTTCTGCTCCGTCAACGTCCCCATGGACGAAGAAAATCCTCGCGAAAGCGCCAACGCCGAAGTCTTCTACCACTTCGCCGACAACGGTTACGTAACACCTGCGACAGTCAACACCAACGAAGCAGAACGGATAGGGCCGCATTTCATACCCGACCCAGAAGCGGGAGATGAAGCAGCTTATCCCGAGGACACAACTCTCCCCCGCTACTCACAGACTAGACTGCAGATTCTCGGCCTCGTCACCGCAGTCCACGGCAATGCTCTTCCTAAAGAGCCTGCGACAGTTCAGCAGGCTCTGGGGGGGGAACACAGGGAGAAATGGCGTGAAGCCATGGACAGAGAGTTAAAGGCGCTGGAGGAACGCAACACCTGGAAAGTCGTTCCCGTAAGCGTGGCAAGGAACAAGACCATCCTCACCGGGAAATGGGTCTTCCGCATTAAAACAAAGGCAGACGGTACAATCGAGAAATTCAAAGCACGCTGGGTCGTGCGTGGATTCGACCAGGAGCACGGATGGGACTTCACCGAGACATTCGCCCCGGTCAGCCGACATACCTCACTCCGAATTCTTCTCGCGATCGCCGCTATGAAGAAGAAGAAACTACGACAAATTGATGTCGCCAACGCGTTCCTCTACGCACCCGTCGACGCCGAAATCTTCGTCGAGCTCCCACACGGTACCCACGGGGAACCTAACCAAGTTTGCCAGCTATTGAAATCGCTCTACGGTATCAAACAAGCCCCACGGCTGTGGCAACAGCACCTACACACTCGCCTCACTCGCATCGGATTCCGCCAACTACCTCACGACCAAGGAATGTATCGACTCACCAAAAACGCCGACTATATCCTGCTGATCGTCTACGTCGACGACCTACTCTACATTAGCTCCACCGAAGACGTCACCACCTGGTTCGAAGGGGAGCTGCAGAGGGATCTTACACTCACGGTCTCCTCTACCGTCACTCAGTACCTCGGACTCAACATCCGCGAAGAAGAGAACGCAATCTATCTCAGCGCCGAAAAGTATGCCGACACTATCGCCAAACGCCTCGCTCACACCTACCACTATCTCCACGCCATACCGCTACACGGCAGGGAACGACAAAGGAGGTCCCGCTCTACTCAAAACCGCCGGAATACGTGACTACCAGAGGAAGCTGGGCTGCCTTCTCTTCGCAGCCGTCACCTGCCGCCCAGATCTGTCCTACTCCGCAAGTCAACTTGCTACCTATCTCAAAAGGCCCGAAACAGAACACCTGGCTGAACTCGACCGCGCTCTCCACTACTTCGTGAGCACCTCGACGATCCGCCTGACATACTACAAGAGTAAAACTACACCGACGAAACTAATCGGCTACGTCGATGCCGATCACGCCGGCGATTCAGACAACAGACGCTCCCGCACTGGCTACATCTACCGCCTCGAACCTATCGGACCTATCTCCTGGCAATCGAGCAAGCAAGAACTAATCGCTCTCTCCTCAGCTGAAGCAGAATATATCGCACTCTGCTCAGCCACCAAGGAAGGACTCTATCTTCGCGAGCTGCTGGAAGAAGCGAAGTTAGCCGAGTTACCCAACTTCACTCTGTTCTGCGACAACCAATCTGCGATTCGCATCGCCAACAAGAGCGGATTCGCGAACAGAACGAAGCATATCGCCCTGCGATATTTCTTCGTGAAAGACGAGATCGAAAAAGGGAAACTCAAACTATCCTACTGTCCCACGTCTGAGATGGCAGCTGACTACTTGACCAAGAAGCTCGGAAAACAGAAGTTCGAGTACTGCATGCTGCTGACTGGACAAAGCCACGTCACCATCAGCGACACTCCAGAAGCGAAGGGGAGTGTTGGGAACAAATAGTCTTAAGCGCCTCTGTCGTGTCGAAACTCAAGACACAAGCGAAGCAGCTCAAATCGAAGCACCGCGAGTAAACCCTCAGAGGTTAACGTAACCGCTGGAGGTTACGAGAATGTCAAAGGTCAGCGACCTTTGACCTGACGCAGCGCGACAGCAAGGACACACAACTGACTCAACATTGAGCAGTTGCCCGAGTCGCACTGTATCGAACCGCAACAGTAAAACAGTTACAATTATGTCTCTTCATATTCTCTGTACTCATATATATATTCCTGTATCTCTTTGCTTTAATCAACTCACTTTGCCTTCACATACTAGCGCAAGGTGGTTCAAGGACTTTATTCAAACGCTTCCGCTACTACATCATTTACTCAGACTTTAACTCTACTAAAGATCCTAGGGCGTTCAGCCCAACACCAAGGTCCTATCTTGAATAATGTTTGTGATTGATGTTTTATGTGGTGTAGTTGGTGGAGGGAGGAGGTGGTGGGGAAAGTTCAAGGCAATAATAATGCATGTACTGGTCACATATTGTAACATGCATATTCAATGTTCTCCAACTCTATCCTCATCCGTATCTCACCTGCCCAAATGCTGCCGACATGGGCTGGGCGGCGGTGATGCATGAGGTCTACCGTATGCCTGATGCGAACCCAACCTGCGGACGGACACTGACTGGTCTGGTCAGTCAGACATTCTGACTTGAGAACGCTCTCCCATCAGAGTGCCTGCTTTCTGGCCGAAGTGCCTTGGGGGTGATAATAGACTGCCCAATACCATGATTGAAACGTCAGCCCTGACCAGAATGCGAACTGAACAAACCACACACGTGTGTGCAGCCACGATGATCATATATACCGGTAGGAGGAATTCGACAGGCGTGAAAACAGTCGTAGAGGGTATCTGCATGCAATGCAAGCGTTCCCTCCTCACTCCTCACTCCCTCCACCTCTTTAGTCCCCTCGCCCATCCACTCCGTGCGGCCAACCTTGCTCCGCTCCGCTCTCCCTGCCTACCCTTCCTCCTTGCCTACCCTTCCTCCTTGCTTACCCTTAGCTTCCTGTGTCTCAGAAACCCCCAACAGCGACTTGATTCACCTCACCACCCACATCCCCACCTGCACCCCCTACCATCCGACCACCCGCCTGAGCCTGCTACCACCCGACCTGCCTCCACAGCACGAATCTCCAACCCCCACACACCTCTAACCCTCCGCATCCGCCCTGTGCTCACGTGCTCGCCTCAAGCCACCCCACTCCTCCCCCACCCCACTGTCGGCCCCCCTTCACACTAGTCCAGCAGCAGCAGTGGTGGTGGCATGAGCAGCAGCAGTGGTGGTGGCATGAGCAGGAGGAGCATGAGTGTGGACGATATCAGCATCAGCGCTGGCAGTGTCAGTAGCATCATCCACAGCAGCCGCCACAGCAGAATCGTCAGCAACAGCCGCGGCAGCAGCATCAGCAGCAGCAGCAACAACCGGAGCAGCAGCATCAGCATCAGCAGCAGCAGAAGCACTGGGAGAATCACCTTGAAAGGCTGCAGCAGATTCAGAGTGTGCATCACACGTGCCACTGCCACCTGCCAACCCACATGTGCCCTGCTCGCCCTCCTCTCTGCCCACTCCCTCTCTGCCCTCCTCCTCACTCCCACCCTCTCCATCCAATCCCCCATTCGCCCTCTCCCTTCCCCCACCCTCTGCAGTCTCCTCCCTTCCTCCACCACTCACAGGCGCAGCAGCAGGAGAATCCCCAGCAGGTGAATCCTCAGCAGGTGAATCCCCAGCAGGTGAATCCCCAGCAGGTGAATCCCCAGCAGGTGAATCCCCAGCAGGTGAATCCCCAGCAGGTGAATCCCCAGCAGGTGAATCCCCAGCAGGTGAATCCCCAGCAGGTGAATCTCCAACATCAGGAGACCCGTAGTAGGCAGCACGGTGGGTGGCAGGGGGAGGCGGATGAGCAAGAGGAGGTGCTTCAGGCATGGGGACTTGGCGACCAATGGCTGATTCACCACCGGCTGTGACGGATGCACTGCCCTCACTAGATTCACCTGCACCTGCCAATCCATCCTCTCCTCCTCCTACTCTTGTGTTACCTCCTGCGTCCATCTCTCCACTTCCTCTGGCTCCTCGCTCTTCCCTTGCTCCTGCTCCTGCTACTACTCCCACTTTTGACTCATTACCTCCTCGTTCTCCTCCACTCCCCGCTCCTCCTGCTCCCCCTCTTTGCTTTCCTCTTTCCCCACCCCTCACCTTCCCTCGTGCAGCCGCCCTCTGCTTACCACCCATCTTCCCTTTCCCCATCGGCTCTTTCCCTGCTGTCCCTCGCCGCACCCTTCTCGCTGCCGATCCTTCTCCCCCTGCCCCTTCTCTCATCCCTTCGCTCGCTGCTCCTCTTGCTGCATGCACTGTCTCTGCTTCACCTGTCTCTGCTTGCCCTGCCTCTACTTGAACCTGTCCACCCCCCCCTCCCTCCCCTGCTCCACGCCTATCCCCTTCTGCATCACCCTCTGCGTGCCCCCCTACCCTTGCTCGAAGCCCGCTTCCATCCTCCATTCCGGGTGACACCGAGTCTGTTGGCAACGCAACCATTTCTTCATCCGGCTGTTGTTGTTGCTGTGGCCCGCTTGGTGCGTGAGGCGCCTCAGAAGGCGTGTGCGGTTGAGATGGGTTTGAAGGAGGGACAGAGGAGGCGGATGAGGGAGAAGGAGATGGGAAAGATGAGGGGGACGAGGAGGAGCGAATAGTGGTGGTCGTGATGGGTGGGGAGGGGGAGGAAGGGGGAAAGGGTGAGGGCATGGGAGAAGGTGCGGAAGGAGGGAGAGGAGGCACGGGAGGCGAGAGGAGGGGTTGGAGTGTGTGGTGGAGGGAGGAGAGAGAGGACGATGCGAGGGTGAGAGAGGAAGAGGAGAGAGAGGCGAGGGTGGGGAGGGTGGAGGACGCGAGAGCGGTGAGGAGGGATGAGAAGAGGGAGAGTATGGGGGAGAGGACGGAGTGTGTGGTGGAGAGGAGGAGGGAGGTGGAGGAGAGGAGGATAGAGTTCAGGAGAGGCACGCGAGAGACAACGATGAAGGAGCAGACGAGGAAGAAGAAGAGAGAGCCGAGGATGATGATGAGCCTGGTGGGGGCAGCAGACAAGACCGGGTGAACGAGAGTAGAGGGGGGGGAGGAGGGGATCTAGGAGAAGTTGAAGAACGGGGGAGATGAAGTTGAAAGGGCAGACGGAAAAGAAGGAGAGAGTCACCAAAATGATGACAGCTCTTGTGGAGGCAGAAAAAAGGGAGAGAGAGGAGAGGATGCATCACAGGGAGAAAGGAAACCAAAAAACAAGGAGGAGGGTATGATGAAGGAGTAGGCAAGAAAAACAAGAAGACCAATTGCAGCGATGAGTCTGTAGAGGTGGAACACAGTAGAGGTGAGTCACCACAGTAGAGGTGAGTCACCACAGTAGAGGTGAGTCACCACAGTAGAGGTGAGTCACCACAGTAGAGGTGAGTCACCACAGTAGAGGTGAGTCACCACAGTAGAGGTGAGTCACCACAGTAGAGGTGAGTCACCACAGTAGAGGTGAGTCACCACAGTAGAGGTGAGTCACCACAGTAGAGGTGAGTCACCACAGTAGAGGTGAGTCACCACAGTAGAGGTGAGTCACCACAGTAGAGGTGAGTCACCACAGTAGAGGTGAGTCACCACAGTAGAGGTGAGTCACCACAGTAGAGGTGAGTCACCACAGTAGAGGTGAGTCACCACAGTAGAGGTGAGTCACCACAGTAGAGGTGAGTCACCACAGTAGAGGTGAGTCACCACAGTAGAGGTGAGTCACCACAGTAGAGGTGAGTCACCACAGTAGAGGTGAGTCACCACAGTAGAGGTGAGTCACCACAGTAGAGGTGAGTCACCACAGTAGAGGTGAGTCACCACAGTAGAGGTGAGTCACCACAGTAGAGGTGAGTCACCATAGTAGAGGTGAGTCACCACAGTAGAGGTGAGCCACCACAGTAGAGGTGAGCCACCACAGTAGAGGTGAGCCACCACAGTAGAGGTGAGTCACCACAGTAGAGGTGAGTCACCACAGTAGAGGTGAGTCACCACAGTAGAGGTGAGTCACCACAGTAGAGGTGAGTCACCACAGTAGAGGTGAGTCACCACAGTAGAGGTGAGTCACCACAGTAGAGGTGAGTCACCACAGTAGAGGTGAGTCACCACAGTAGAGGTGAGTCACCACAGTAGAGGTGAGTCACCACAGTAGAGGTGAGTCACCACAGTAGAGGTGAGCCACCACAGTAGAGGTGAGCCACCACAGTAGAGGTGAGCCACCACAGTAGAGGTGAGCCAACACAGGCGAGAGGGTGGAGGCGAGAGAAGGCAAGAGGGACACGAGGCAAGAGGGACACGAGGCAAGAGGGACACGAGGCAAGAGGGACACGAGGCAAGAGGGACACGAGGCAAGAGGGACATGGAAGAGGCATGAAAGTGACGGGACACGCAAGAGGGACCCACCCAAACCCATACACCCACCAACCCAAACCCATCCACCCACCCAGCCCAAACCTACCCAACCAAAACCCACCCAACCAAAACCCACCCAACCAAAACCCACCCAACCCAAAACCACCCAACCAAAACCCGCCCACCCAAAACCCACCCACCCAAACCTACCCACTTACCCACTCACCAACCCACCCACCTCTCACCCCTATACCACTATACTCCTACGTTCAATCCCCCTCCTCCACGCCTCTCCCATTCAGCTGTCCGTCACATTGCCTCGCCTCAGCAGTGGCAGCAACTGGTAAGCCGTGGAAGGGCAAGAGAGCAGGGGTACTGCCACCCACCCACCACTCTCCTCTATACCCCTCTGCACGACTCTCAACCCCCTGTAACCCACCCCCCCTCCCCTCTCATCCCCCCCTCACCTGTCCGCCACGTCCCCTCGCTGCAGCAGCGCCAGCAGCTGGTGAGCCGTGGAGAGGCGGGAGCATTGTAAGGAGCTGTGCAAAGCACCACCCAAACCCACTCGCTGCTCTTCCCTATACTACTGTACGCCTCTTCTCCCTATTTCTCTCCACCTCACCTGTCCGTTACGTCCCCTCGCTGCAGCAGCACCAGCAGCTGGTGAGCCGTGGAGAGGCGGGAGTGCTGCAGGGAGTACTGCGACCCTGCTGATGTCAGCACTGCTGCTGACGTGTCTGCATTGGACAGTGGGTGGGGCCAGAAGAAGGGAGGGAAAGAAGGGAGGAAGGTGGGGTGTTGGATGGATGGCATGAGTATTGAAGGGGGTGCTGTGTGGTGCTGGGAGGTGCTGTGTGGTGGTGAGAAGGTCACAGCGGCTGACGCGTGTGGCTTGGTTGAAAACAAGGCTGGGAGAGGAAGAAGACAGTGTGTACAGGGTTATTCCAAAAGAAGAGATGGCACATGAGAGAAGGGAGCAGATGTGAAAGCTAGAGACGGCAGATGAGACGTGGCAGAAACACATTGAAACAAGCAGTGACATCAGAAGAATGGAGGGAGAGGGATGCCATCGGAAGAATGGAGGGAGAGGGATGCCATCAGAAGAATGGAGGGAGAGGGATGCCATCAGAAGAATGGAGGGAGAGGGATGCCATCAGAAGAATGGAGGGAGAGGGATGCCATCAGAAGAATGGAGGGAGAGGGATGCCATCAGAAGAATGGAGGGAGAGGGATGTCATCAGAAGAATGGAGGGAGAGGGATGCCATCAGAAGAATGGAGGGAGAGGGATGCAATCAGAAGAATGGAGGGAGAGGGATGCCATCAGAAGAATGGAGGGAGAGGGATGCCATCAGAAGAATGGAGGGAGAGGGATGCCATCAGAAGAATGGAGGGAGAGGGATGCCATCAGAAGAATGGAGGGAGAGGGATGCCATCAGAAGAATGGAGGGAGAGGGATGTCATCAGAAGAATGGAGGGAGAGGGATGCCATCAGAAGAATGGAGGGAGAGGGATGCCATGAGAAGAATGGAGGGAGAGGGATGCCATCAGAAGAATGGAGGGAGAGGGATGCCATCAGAAGAATGGAGGGAGAGGGATGCCATCAGAAGAATGGAGGGAGAGGGATGCCATCAGAAGAATGGAGGGAGAGGGATGCCATCAGAAGAATGGAGGGAGAGGGATGCCATCAGAAGAATGGAGGGAGAGGGATGCCATCAGAAGAATGGAGGGAGAGGGATGTCATCAGAAGAATGGAGGGAGAGGGATGCCATGAGAAGAATGGAGGGAGAGGGATGCCATCAGAAGAATGGAGGGAGAGGGATGCCATCAGAAGAATGGAGGGAGAGGGATGCCATCAGAAGAATGGAGGGAGAGGGATGCCATCAGAAGAATGGAGGGAGAGGGATGCCATCAGAAGAATGGAGGGAGAGGGATGCCATCAGAAGAATGGAGGGAGAGGGATGCCATCAGAAGAATGGAGGGAGAGGGATGCCATCAGAAGAATGGAGGGAGAGGGATGCCATCAGAAGAATGGAGGGAGAGGGATGTCATCAGAAGAATGGAGGGAGAGGGATGCCATCAGAAGAATGGAGGGAGAGGGATGCCATCAGAAGAATGGAGGGAGAGGGATGCCATCAGAAGAATGGAGGGAGAGGGATGCCATCAGAAGAATGGAGGGAGAGGGATGCCATCAGAAGAATGGAGGGAGAGGGATGCCATGAGAAGAATGGAGGGAGAGGGATGCCATCAGAAGAATGGAGGGAGAGGGATGCCATCAGAAGAATGGAGGGAGAGGGATGCCATCAGAAGAATGGAGGGAGAGGGATGCCATCAGAAGAATGGAGGGAGAGGGATGCCATCAGAAGAATGGAGGGAGAGGGATGCCATCAGAAGAATGGAGGGAGAGGGATGTCATCAGAAGAATGGAGGGAGAGGGATGCCATGAGAAGAATGGAGGGAGAGGGATGCCATCAGAAGAATGGAGGGAGAGGGATGCCATCAGAAGAATGGAGGGAGAGGGATGCCATGAGAAGAATGGAGGGAGAGGGATGCCATGAGAAGAATGGAGGGAGAGGGATGCCATCAGAAGAATGGAGGGAGAGGGATGCCATCAGAAGAATGGAGGGAGAGGGATGTCATCAGAAGAATGGAGGGAGAGGGATGCAATCAGAAGAATGGAGGGAGAGGGATGCCATCAGAAGAATGGAGGGAGAGGGATGCCATCAGAAGAATGGAGGGAGAGGGATGCCATGAGAAGAATGGAGGGAGAGGGATGCCATCAGAAGAATGGAGGGAGAGGGATGCCATCAGAAGAATGGAGGGAGAGGGATGCCATCAGAAGAATGGAGGGAGAGGGATGCCATCAGAAGAATGGAGGGAGAGGGATGCCATCAGAAGAATGGAGGGAGAGGGATGCCATCAGAAGAATGGAGGGAGAGGGATGCCATCAGAAGAATGGAGGGAGAGGGATGCCATCAGAAGAATGGAGGGAGAGGGATGCCATCAGAAGAATGGAGGGAGAGGGATGTCATCAGAAGAATGGAGGGAGAGGGATGCCGTGAGAACAATGGAGGGAGAGGGATGCCATCAGAAGAATGGAGGGAGAGGGATGCCATCAGAAGAATGGAGGGAGAGGGATGCCATCAGAAGAATGGAGGGAGAGGGATGCCATCAGAAGAATGGAGGGAGAGGGATGCCATCAGAAGAATGGAGGGAGAGGGATGCCATCAGAAAAATGGAGGGAGAGGGATGCCATGAGAAGAATGGAGGGAGAGGGATGCAATCAGAAGAATGGAGGGAGAGGGATGCCATCAGAAGAATGGAGGGAGAGGGATGCCATCAGAAGAATGGAGGGAGAGGGATGCCATCAGAAGAATGGAGGGAGAGGGATGCCATCAGAAGAATGGAGGGAGAGGGATGTCATCAGAAGAATGGAGGGAGAGGGATGCCATGAGAAGAATGGAGGGAGAGGGATGCCATCAGAAGAATGGAGGGAGAGGGATGCCATCAGAAGAATGGAGGGAGAGGGATGCCATCAGAAGAATGGAGGGAGAGGGATGCCATCAGAAGAATGGAGGGAGAGGGATGCCATGAGAAGAATGGAGGGAGGGATGCCATGAGAAGAATGGAGGGAGAGGGATGCCATGAGGAGAATGGAGGGAGGGATGCCATGAGAAGAATGGAGGGAGGGATGCCATGAGAAGAATGGAGGGAGGGATGCCATGAGAAGAATGGAGGGAGAGGGATGCCATGAGAAGAATGGAGGGAGGGATGCCATGAGGAGAATGGAGGGAGGGATGCCATGAGGAGAATGGAGGGAGGGATGCCATGAGAAGAATGGAGGGAGAGGGATGCCATGAGAAGAATGGAGGGAGAGGGATGCCATGAGAAGAATGGAGGGAGGGATGCCATGAGAAGAATGGAGGGAGAGGGATGCCATGAGAAGAATGGAGGGAGGGATGCCATGAGAAGAATGGAGGGAGAGGGATGCCATGAGAAGAATGGAGGGAGAGGGATGCCATGAGAAGAATGGAGGGAGAGGGATGCCATGAGAAGAATGGAGGGAGGGATGCCATGAGAAGAATGGAGGGAGGGATGCCATGAGAAGAATGGAGGGAGGGATGCCATGAGAAGAATGGAGGGAGGGATGCCATGAGGAGAATGGAGGGAGGGATGCCATGAGGAGAATGGAGGGAGGGATGGCATGAGGAGAATGGAGGGAGGGATGCCATGAGGAGAATGGAGGGAGGGATGCCATGAGGAGAATGGAGGGAGGGATGGCATGAGGAGAATGGAGGGAGGGATGGCATGAGGAGAATGGAGGGAGGGATGGCATGAGGAGAATGGAGGGAGGGATGCCATGAGGAGAATGGAGGGAGGGATGGCATGAGGAGAATGGAGGGAGGGATGGCATGAGGAGAAGGGAGGGAGGGATGGCATGAGGAGAATGGAGGGAGGGATGGCATGAGGAGAATGGAGGGAGGGATGCACGATGCCGTGGGTAGATGGGAGACCAGCGCCCATCCAAAGGAGCTGATACCAGAGCCCAATCAACTCACCGAGTTCCTCCAATGTGTGCACGCCACGTTGCACCTCCTGCCATGCCATGGATTGCAATATCATGCCATGCCAAGCCATGCCATGCCATGCCATGCCATGCCATGAGATGTCATACCATGCCATGAGATGCCATGCCATGCCATGCGATGCGATGAAGAGTGCAGTGAAGAAGAGAATGCGGTGTGGAGAAAAATGGAGCCGATGAAGACAATTCTACCTTGACATCCCAACCGATCCATGCCACATCATCATCATCGTACTAACTGTTCCATGCCACGTCATCGTCTCACTGCTCCTGCGAAGTCATTATCTCACCCATTACCATCCACGCATATCATTCCATCCCACCTGTTCCTGCCACGACACCATCTCACCTGGTCTTGCCACATCAGCATCCCACCTGTTCCTGACATGTCATCATCCCACCTGTTCCTGCCACGTCATCATCCCTCATGTTCCTGCCGCCACACCACGACGCCATCCTACCTGTTTCTGCCACGTCATCATCTTACCTGTTCCATGACGTGTCGTGTTCGTCGGAGCGTGGAAGTGACCTCCTCAGCTGCTGCTGCCATCTGTGCTGCTGATCTGATTCAATATGTGATAAAAGCACATGTGATACAAGCACAAGAGATACAAACACATGCAAAACAAGCACACACGGGACAAGGACGCAACATGAAAGCAAGAACGACAGAGCACACAAGAATGCATCTTGCTGTGATTTTCCAGATCGGTGTGTGGAGGACACAGACGCACACATGTGAGGCATGCTGGTGATCAGAGAAAATGGGAGAGAATACGAGAGGGTATGACAGGCGGAGTACGAGAGATTATGGGAGAGTATGAGAAGGTATGAGATGGTATGAGAGGGGTTATGAGAGGGTATGAGAGGGTATGAGATGGTATGAGATGGTATATATATTTGAGCATGAGAGGGAATAGGAAGCATGAGAGGGAATAGTACGCACTCTAGTTTTCTTCGCCGCAACGATGCCTCTCGTCCTGCCCCTAGCAGCTCGTCTCTCTGTTCCCACATGTGCACATGAACAGCACATGGACAAGAGGGGGATATGATGACACATGCGCACCGAAACGTCACAACCAACCAAACATGCACTCATGCCCAATTCACATGTCAACAAACGCCTCCACCACACAGCCAGCCTTCTTATCCACCCCCAGATCCCAAAATAAAATTATTTTGCGTGCACACACAGGCAACCATTCCATGAAAGCAGAATGAAAAGCGTGGGAAGAAGAAGGGTTGACGTGCCACGAGGGGTCATTTTCTGCTAGAGGAAAACGCATCGCAGCTAGAGGGTTCGTTCTGTGTCGCCATCTTTGCCATACCTGCCCCACGCACTAATTTGATCGCCACATGAGTTATGACGAGCTGTCATGGCAGCTGTCCTTCACTCCCCGCCTCCTCCAATGAGATGAGCCATTCGTTTAAAGGACCAACGGGATGAAGCGGAGTTATCTCAAAACGAGTACAGACTCCCTCCCCCACCCCCACCCTCCCTCGTGCTACCAACCCCCACCCTCCCTCGTGCTACCAACCCCCACCCTCCCTCGTGCTACCAACCCCCACCCTCCCTCGTGCTACCAACCCCCACCCTCCCTTGTGCAACCCTTAACCCATCCCCCCTCCCCCCTCCCCCACCGCACCCCACTCATGATATCAGCCCCACCTCCTTGTGTGCTTGCCGCGTGAGATTGTGTTGAGCCGTCATGGTGGCATGGCGCAACCGCTGCCGCAGTCTGGTTGGAGATTTGACGGAAACATGACGGTTCGGTTGGGAAGGGTGCAACAGAGAGGGGATAATGACAAGGCAGAGAGAGCGTGTGGAGAACTAGTGTGAGAAATGGCAGAGAGAGCGTGATTCTGTGTGGTGGTGGTGCGAGGAAGAGAGCGAGGAGGAGAGAGGAATAGAGAGGGGGGGAGCGAGAAACACAGACAGCTTGAAAGGAAGCACCAATGAGCCGTGCGATGGGCCAAGGAAACGCAAACACAGGAAAAGAAAACAGCGCCACGGGAGGATGGAAGCGGGTGGCGCACGGACGGAGGAGGGAGGGCGGGGTTGAAGGAAGGGAGGGACGGAGGGCAAGAGAGAGGGAGGGCGGGAGGAAGGGAGGGAGGGAGTGAGGAAGGTGGAGCAGGGACGGATGAAGGAGGGAGGGGGGAAGGGAGGGAGGCGGAGCACTGGTGGTTACACTGGATGCGCCTGGTGCAGCTGCTGCAGGGCCGCCTGCACCTGCTGCCACACGGGGACTCTGCGGAAAAGAGGAAGGCGGGGGTGGGAGTTGTGGCGGAGGGAGGGGAGAGGCGGGTGGGGGTGGGGAGGGTTTGGGGAGGGAATGGAACGGCAAAGAAAGGGCAGGAGGGAAGTTGAGGGAGGACCCGGAGAAGTAAGATTCTCTTGAGGCTACCCAGCGTCTGCACATGCGCCTTGAGCAGCTGCCACAGACCCCCACGTGAGTTGCTGCCACACGGGCTCAGGGAAGAGAGAGCGGCAATGAAAGCGAGGAGGGAAGGAGGAGTGAAAGAACCATTCGTTCGCCCTGGCTGAGCGAGCACGGCCCACTTCAGTTGGTGAAGGAGCGACTCAGCGACTTACCAGATGCTGCCCGCAGGGCCTACAGGGGTTCAAGTGGCGGTCGGAATCTGGAAGGAGGGTGTGGTGAGGCGGAGGGGGGTGAGGGGGAGGAAAATGTAACACAAGAGAGGTGACAGGAGGAGCAGCAGAAGGAGGAGGAAGCTGGGAGAGGGCGTGAGGAAGCTGGGAGAGGGCGTGAGGAAGCTGGGAGAGGGCGTGAGGAAGCCATACAGGCATTGGCAGCCAGGCTAACAACGGATTCTCAGCCTTTTGAGCAGTCAGCTGACATCAGCGTAGTGAGGCAGCAGGGGAGCAGCAACAAATGAGTTTCTGTTTCCTTGATGATGTTGAGAATCAGAAATGCGCAGAGTGGTAGGGATAGTGGTGGTGGGATTGGGGGGGGGGAGAAGGGGAGGGGGACGGGGAGGGGGAGGGAGAGAAGCGGAAATGGAAAGGGGAGTGGGTGGGGTAGGTGCCTTTAAGCGCCGGTAACGGCGGGCCCTACCCGTTCACTCTTTCAAGCCAGCCTTACCCACCCGTGCCCCCTTCTCGCTCGCCCTCTTCCCCCTCTTCTACCGAGGTCTAGAGCGCGACATCTGCACCCCCCTTCCCTCCCGTCCACCCGTCCTTCCTGTCACCTCTTCCCCATCTCCTCCGCCATCAATCAATACTCTCTCTACCCTCGCTCACCGATCGCGCTCGCCCCCCGCCTACCTCTGCGCAAAGCTTTCGCTTCCGCCTCCGCCGCCCTCCTCGCGGGCCCCAACCGCGCACTCGTTGCCCTCCGCCATCTCTTCCGCCAGCGACCGCAACTCCCGCTCCACGCCCCCAAGCGCCGCCAGCGCGTTCTGCGCGCCCGCCGTCAGCGCGGGGAGCTGCGCGCGCGTGGGCCCCCCGCGAGTGCCGCAGGCGGCGATGGATGTGATATGTTCGTCCGCGCGCGCTAGCAGCGCCTCCATTGCGCCGATCTGGCGCAAGGCTTCCGCCTCCGCCGTGTTCGGCTCGCCGTGAGCCAGCGCCGCAGAGGCGGCAGCGACAGCCATCGGCGGGGATGGCGCGGGCAGACGTGAGAAGGGTCGAGTGTAGCGCCTAAACTGGAATTCGAAGAGGAAAACGGCTATCTGCGGTTGATTGGCACCTGCGCGGAAAAGGCGAGTTGATTGAAGAATCTTGGTCACGCAGATTGCGGGAAGAAATCGTGAAGTTGAGTTCCCGCAATCTTTTTGTAAATTACTGTAATCCTGCGAGCCGAGTTTTGTCGTCACCGCGCTGTACTCAAACCCAACATTGGCATTCCCAACTTCGCATCCCTGCTCAACGCGTACATCACTCTAGCACCACAGTCAGCACCGTTACCACTCGCAATCCTCGCATCTACAATCCGCCCGCCACCTTCGCACGTCGCACCCCGACCTCACGGCTCGGCGGGTAACCCGCGCTCCGGGCCTCCGCTTCGACACTTTTCCCAACCTCAGTCCCAGGCCCGTCGCGCGACAACCACAGTCCATTACCGTTACCACTGTAGTTTCGCTATATATTCTTCGCTCATTCCTTCGCTCATTGGACTCTTGCTTCGATAGTGCAATTCTCGTTCGTTCACTCAATTGCACTCGTAACACTTGGTATTCAGAGCCTACGATCTCCTCTCGGACCGCACCCACACCTTCGCTTCCCCACTATCTCAATTTTTTGGGGGGGGTAGACGTCCCTCAGCGACACAGCACCGCCGCTCGTAGTGCTCTCTCGTAAGCACGCACGGCCACGACCGAGGCTCTCGCTGAGCTCGCCCCACACCCCCGCCATGGCCGAATTCACGCTCGCCACATTGACGCAGGAGCAGCTTGACCGTCTGGTGCGCCAACTTGAAGATTCGGCGCTCGAAATTGCGACGCTCACGGCGGAACGTGACTCCGCACGTCAGCAATCCACGGTAAACATTCCAGCGCCACCACACGCACCGACAAATGCATCTGCACAATCAGACGAGCCGATCGTCATTTCGTCCGGCACACCAACGCAACACGACAGCGTGGGACAACGCTCAGGCGCAGCTAGTGACGGCGCCGCCCAGCCGATGCCTGGCATGGGAGGAAACAGGGTCGCACCAAGCCCGCAGGAGTCTTGTGAAGCCCGTCGGAGTCTCGTGAAGCCCGTCGGCACGTGGAGTTCGCGGCGACAAGTGGCGAACAGGCCATTATGGCACCCATGCCACTCAAGCCGCAACGCCCGCCCTGCTTCGACCCAAGCCAACGTGGAGGTCCGACGGTTCAATCGTGGGTTTTCACGATGAACGTCTTCTTCGACGCGAATTACGTCGAGTCGGACGCAGCGAAGATTCGGTATGCCGTTTCGCTGTTAAGGGGCCCCGCCATGGACTGGTGGCGAGTCATCGTGACGTCGCCACGCGCCTACGAGCCACCGTCGCAAGAGGAATGGCCCACGGGCCCAGCTGTTACCTGGAGTTCAATCTGCAAGACCGCCCAATAGAGCACGTGGAATGCGTGGTGCGCAGGGCTTCGGGCGCGCTTCGAGCCGATCGCGGCTTCTATTTCGGCGCGTCAGAGATTGCGCACTTGGCGGCAGCTCGGGTCGGTTCAAGATCACACGAGCGGTTTTCTCGCACTTTACGAGCAGGTCGGCTACATGCACGAAGCGGAACGGGTGGACCGTTACGTCGGAGGGCTGAAGCCGGATATCTCGCACGAAATCATGCTGCGCGGACTCTCAAACTTCAACGAGATTCTCGCGCTCGCCGAGAAAATCGACATTCTACGCCGACCGAGACTGGGGTCCTACTACGGACATCGTCCTCGGGGACCGATCGAGCACGCCACTAATGCAGTTGCCGCACCGTTTAAGGGGCGCTGCTTTGCTTGCAACAGGCCGGGCCATCGCAAGAGCGAATGCCCAGACGAGCTAAAGCGCCGCGGAGCAGAGCAAGGGGAGAAGTCTCGGAGGCAGGGAAACGCCAGCAGTCAGTAGAAGTTGGGCCAACTACTGACGAGACTGCGTGCTCGCCCAACCGCACCGACCCTCACCGAGTCACAGTACCGATTCACGCCATCGATCGTGCTCGGATGAATAAGGAGGGTACAGCGACGGATTGCCCAGTACTGATCCACGGGAAAATACAGGGAGCAGCAGTGAAGATTTTTATCGACGGAGGAGCAAGCCACAGTTTAGTTAATACTGCAACCGCACGAAAACTACAGCTGACACTTAGCCGTTGCTTACCGGAGATAGACGCACGCTTATTCGACGGCACGCCACTAGCCATACGGGAAAAGGTAGAGCGAGTCAAAGTCCGCTGCGGGGGAAATTTCGGGTTTACACAGGAAATGCTCGCAACGACACTGGATGGGCACGATATTTTACTGGGACGTGATTGGCTGCGACGGTATTATCAAATTATAATATTGTGTAGGCTATAGTGGGGTAGCCGATATGGGGTACACATTTCTAGGGTTGTATATTTGTATCACTTCCATTCCTTAGTCCATCCATTCTCGTTGTACTTTCCTCATGGTATCAGAGCAGGTTCCCCCTTGGGAACTGTGCCTAGGGCCCACCACATCGAGTTTCATTTTTTTTCTCCTAACCGAAGCGCGCTCCGCCCGAGTTGCGCTCCGAGCTCTCACCTCGTCGAGCCGCCATAGCGGCCCCTACGCCCTAGCGGCCCTATCGCCCTAGCGGCCCCTTCCCCTAGCGGCCCCGCCGCCCGTCGATTCGGCCTCGCCGCCCTTTAGTGCGGCCCCGCCGCCCGTCTCAGCGGCCCCGCCGCCCTTCTCAGCGGGCCCCGCCCTACTTAGCGGCCCCACCGCCCGTCGCTGCGGCCCCGCCCTTCTCATCGGCCCCGTCGCCCCGCATTGCGGCCACGCCGCCCGTCTCCGCGGCCCCGCCGCCCGTCGCTGCGGCCCCGCCCTTCTCGGCGGCCCCGTCGCCCCACATTGCGGCCTCGCCACACATTTCAGCGGCCCCGCCGCCCTTCGCTGCGGCCCCGCTGCCTCCCTCGCTGCGGCCCCGCCGCCCTACTCAGCGGCCCCGCCGCCCTTCTACTCAGCGGCCCCGCCGCTCTACTCAGCGGCCCCGCCGCCCTACTCAGCGGCCCCGCCGCCCTAATCAGCGGCCCCGCCGCCCTTCTACTGCGGCCCCGCCGCCCTACTCAGCGGCCCCGCCACCCTTCCGCAGCGGCCCCGCCGCCCTTCTCAGCGGCCCCGCCGCCCTACTCAGCGGCCCCGCCGCCCTTCAACTGCAGCCCAGCCGCCCTTCTCAGCGGCCCCGCCGCCCCTCGCACCAGCGGCCCTGCCGCCCTACACCGCCCGCGCCGCCCGAGCCGCCCGAACCGCTCGAGCCGCCCGAACCGCCCGAGCCGCCCGAGCCGCCCGACCTGCCCGAGCTGCCCGAGCCGCCCGAGCCGCCTCACTCTCCTGAGCTGCCCGAGCCGCCCGCCCAGCCCGAGCCGCCCGAGCCGCCCGAGCCGCCCGAGCCGTCCGAGCCGCCTGAGCCGCCTGAGGAGCCGAGCCGCTGGCACCACGGAGCCGCAGTTGTTGCTGAGCCTTCCGAGCAACGTGTTGCCGTGTTGCTGTACTGCTGAGCTGCCCGACCCGCCCTGTCTGGTGAGAGCAGCGCTTCTGTCACTGCACTGCCCCTGTCCTACAGTTGGTACTGCTAGTCTACTGCTGTCATGACTACCCCCAGTGTTCTCGCTTTTGACGCTGAGGGTCGAGCCATTGACTTTGAGGTTTGGGTAGATGACCTGCAGCTTTTCCTACAGTGCGATAGGGCAGACGGTCTCTCCCTCTTTGACCTCACCTCTGGCGCCTCTCCTGCCCCTGCTGCTGATGCTGACCCCACTGTTTGCTCCCAGTGGGCCACGCGCGATGCTGCTGCACGTCTTGCTGTGCGTCGCCACCTGCCTACTACTGAGCGCGCGCACTTTAGTCAGTACAAGAGTGCTCAGACCTTGTACGACGCTGTAGTTACGCGCTACTCTTGCCCTGCCACTGCTGCACTGAGCCGCCTCATGCTACCGCACCTCTTCCGTGACCTTGCTGCCTTTCCCACAGTCGCTGACCTCACTACGCACCTCCGCACTAGTGACACTCGCTACTGCGCCGCGCTTCCTGCTGAGTTCTGCGCCAAGAACCCCCCCCCACATGTACATCACTCTCTATTATATAGTCACCCGCCTCCCTGACTCCCTTCGCGTAGTCAAGGACCACTTCCTCTCAGTCTGTCCCACCACTCTCACTGTTGACCTCCTAGAGAAGGCCTTCCTAGCAGCAGAGAAGAGCATAGTCACTGTAGGAGCCTCTCGTGGTGACCCTCGCAACCCCATCTTTGAGGGGTGTTCCCCTTCCCCCCTGTTGCCCTTTGTCGCCTCTGCTGCTGCGGCCGACCTCGTTGGTCTTGAGTCGGTCGGTGCGGCGTCTGCCCTGAGCGGGAGATGCTGATCTGGCAAGGGCAAGGGGGGCAAGGGCGCGGGAGGAGCTAGCGGGGGTGGTGGAGGTGGCGGTGGAGGCGGTGGAGGGAGTGGGGGTGGCGGTGGGAGTGGTGGCGGGGGTGGAGGTGGTGGTTGTAGCAGCGGAGGCGGAGGCGGCGGAGGCGGTAGCGGTGGGAGCGGAGGCGGCGGTGGTGGCGGAGGTGGAGGCGGCGGTGGCGGAGGAGGTGGAGCTGGTCGGGGTGGTGCTTCGCAGCGGAGCGGCTCCGGTGGTGGTCAGCGCCAGCAGCAGCAGCAGCAGCAGCGTTCTCGGGACATCCCCCCTCCTCAGTAGCTCCGTGAGTGGTACACGCAGCGTCAGCATGGTGGGGGTTTTGGCCCGTGCACCTACGTCCTTCGCTACGGCGACCGCGCGGGTGAGCAGTGTGGGGGTGCCCACCCCACCCAGCGCTGCTTTGGCCGCCTGTCAGACGCTTGGCGTCAGTAGTTCCCGGAGGCTAGTGAGTTTTTTTGTTGGGGAGAGCTGTCTAGGGCAGGCGTAGCTATCTATGATCTTGTCTTTGATGCTATCATTGCTGCCATGTATGCTGTGACTATTAGTGA